CTTATAGAGCATGTTGAAGGCAAATTACAAAATAAGTAAAATTAAAAACAACAACAACACATTCTTAAGAGAAAAAGCAAGCACCGTAACCAGACTCGGAAGTGACACAGATTTCGGAATGATCAGAATGAATTTAAAACTCCTAGAATTAATACGTTAAGGGCTACAACGAGAAAAATGGAAGACGTGCGAGAACAGATGAATAATATAAACAGAGAGATGAAAACTCTAAAGCGTCAAAAAGAGATCTTAGAAATTAAAAAGAAAAAAGACTTGTGACAGACATGAAAAATGCACATCAGCGGACTGAACACGGCTGAGGAGGAAAGCAGTGAGCCCGCAGGCGTTTCGGTGGCGACGTCCCCAAATGGAATGCCAGGGAAGAAAGAGTAAGGGGGCGGGGGGAGGGGACGAGCATTCGGGAACTGCGGGACGATCTCGAGGACGGAGCACGCGTGTCATCGGAACACCAAAAGGCACAAGAGAGCGACGGAGAAAACACATATTTGAGGCGATAAATGGCCAACGTGTTTCCAAAATTAATGACAGTCACGAAACCACAGATCCAAAAAGCTCCAAAAACTATACAGAATAAACGCTAAACACGTTTTTAAAGTTAAAAGAAAGAAACGCTACGTATCATACTCGAACTGCAGGAAACCGAAAAGAAAATCATGAAAGAAACCAGAAACATTTTTTCTATAGAGGCACAGAAAAGAATTTTCTGAAAACTTCAGAAAAGAATTTTATAAAGGAAAGAATGTCAGCAGACTTCTCCCCCCCCAAAAAACATGTAAGCAAGAAGACGGTAGAAGAAAATCTTTCAGGTTTGAAAAGAAAAACACGTCAACCTAGAATTGTATCCCCAGCAAAATTATCCCTCAAAAGTGAAGGAGAAATACTTTCTCAGACAAAAACTCAGGGAATGCCTCACCAGCAGACACGGCCCGAAAGAAATGTTAAAAGTATTTTCTTCATGCAGAAGGTTGGAAACTTGAATCTACATAAAGGAAGAATGTCCAGGAAGGAATAAATGAAGGTAAAACCAAATCTTTTATTTTTCTTACTTTCATTTGGTCTAAAAAAGTAATTATTTATTTAAAGCAACAATAGGAACGATGCGTTTTGCTGTCACAGCTTACGGACAAGTGGGACGCATGCCAGCATTGTCACAGGGACAGGAGGGGAGAGTCGGGACTACTCTGTCTTAAGGTACTTGCACTAAACGAGAAGAAGCACATTCGGTGTTATCGGAGTCTTTTAAAACGTATATTGTAAACTCTTAGGTGAAAAAATTTTAAAAGAGGTACAAATGACAAGCCGAGAGGAGATATATAACGACATAAGATGCTCAGTGAAAACCAGAGACGCGAGAAAAAGAAGCTCGTGGCAAGAATAAGGGACGGTTAGTTAAAGTCTGATACTAAGCTAACTACACGATTCAGTTTCCCCCCCGTCTACAGGGTTCTGTGCCGACTCCCGGAGGACGCACGAAACCACGCGGAGTCTCAAACTCGGTATGAACTAAATTTCCCCTGTGATTAAGTTTCATTTATAAACGAGACACCGTAAGAATAACGGGAAAAACAAGAATGACCAGTAATAAAACGGAACAAGGTTAACAATGTATCGTAATAGAAGTTACGAGAACGCGGCACTGTGAAGTAAAACGGGGATTACCCGAACGTGACCACTGCAGTGGTGGGACTCGCCCTCCGCAGAGGTGGCTGCTGAGTGACTAGCGGCGGGAGCGGCCAGGGCGCGGGCGCACTGGACCAAGGACGAGTCGCGCCCCAGGCGGGAAGGAGCAGGTGGCAGGAGAGTTCACCGCTCTGCTCGGAGCAGTGAGCAACAGGGAACTTGTAGACTGTGGATATCTGGAATGTTCCATTTCATACATTCAGACCACAGTTGACCGCAGGTAACCGAAATCACAGAAAGTGAAACCGAATAAGCGGGGGACGGACCACGGTCACCATCTTCGATGCGCAGGGTCTAAAGAAACCGATTCAAAGGCCGGTCGTTGGAGTGGATGAAACGACAAGACCCAGCTACACGCCGTCCACAAGAAACCCGTTTGCCATAGGAAGACTCTGACGGGCTCAAAATGAAGCGATGGAGAAGGATGTTAGGGTCCCAGTGCTGATTTCGGACAAAGCGGACTTTAGAACAGGAGCGTTATCATGGAGAAAGAGGGGCCGTGGGTGGCGTGAGACGCAGCTCAGTTCGATTCTCGGGGAAGAGATCGCGGCCACGCTCCTGACAGGACTGTGCAAACACACGAGGCCAAAGTGACAGGAGGGAGGAGGGACAGACGGGGCCACCGTCGCGACCGGCGACGTGCACATCCCCGTGGCAACCGCCAGAACGAGCAGGCAGAAAACCAGCCAGCAGAGTTCACGCGATCGGCACTACCGATCGACAGGATCTAAGTGACATCTGCAGAACATTCCAGCTCACGAGAGCGAAATACACATTCTTCTCGAGCAAGCTTGTGTGGAACATTCGCCACGTGTCTTAGTCCATTCGGGCTCTTTCTCATAACGAAATACCACGGTCTGGGGGGCTTCTTCTCCAGTTCTGGGGGCCGGGCGTCCGAGATCAGGGTGCCAGCACGGTCGGGTGAGGACCTCGGCAAGTCTAGACTTCTCACTGTGTCCTCACATGGCAGAAGGGACAAGGGATGAGGGGGCTCCGTGGGGCCACTTAGACAAGGCAGGCACCAGTCCCATGAGGGCTTGGCCTGGTCACCTCCCAAAGGCTCCTGACCCCATCACCTCGGGGGTTATGATGTCAGCGCATGAATTGGGGACACAAACATTCAGACTACAGCACCAAGACAGACCGTGTTAGGGGGCAGAGAGCTGCCTTAACGAGTTTTTAAGAAACGAAGATCCTACAAAGTATTTCTCAGACCAGAATGGAATTAAACTAAAATCAGCAACAGGAAGTAAGTGAAATCCCCAATTGTGTTTCGATTTGGAAATCAAATGAAAACGATAATACCGTTTGTCAAAATGTAGCAAAAGCAGCGGCTACGGGGAAATTTATAGCATTAAATGTACATGAGAAGAAGAAAGAGCTACAGTCAGTAACCTAGGAAATAAAACGAAGAACGATTTAAGCCTAAAGCAAGCAGAAGAAATGCAGTAAAAATTAGGGCATAGATCAATGTAACTGAAAACTGGAAAATAACAGAGAAAAACAACGAACTAAAAATTTGTGGGGTTTTTTCGTTGTTGTTGTTTTTGTTTTTTTGGCTAAGCTAACCAAGAAAAAGGAGACACAGATTACTCATATCAGAAATGAAAGTACGGACCCCACGAACGTCAAAAGAATAATAAAGGAATGCTACAAACGACTCTGTGCCCCAAATTTGATAATTTAGATAAAATGGACCAGTTTCTTAAAAGATGTACACTACCGAACTCACACGAGGAGAAAAAGACACGTTAAATAGCTGCGTGTATTCAATCGATAATTAACGACCTCTTAAAAAGAAATCACCAGGCCCAGATGGCTTCTCACGAATTCTGCCAAATGTTTAAAGAAATGACACCCATTCTTTAACTTCCGTTCCAGAAATGAGAAGAGGAAGGAGCATTTCTTATGTCATTCTATGAAGCCAGAATTATCCTTATGTCAAAACCAAAGGCATCCCAAGAAAAAAAAAACCATTGATCCATCTCTCTCATAAACACTTCAAATACTTTACAAAATATTAGCAAATGGAATCCGACAGTGTATGAGAAGAATTAGACGTCACCACCAAATGGGATTTATTTCAGGGGTGAGATGCTGGGTCGACGTGAGAGAAATCGATCTGTGTAATCCACCACGGAACAGACTAAAAGAAGAAAAATCGTATCCGTTGATGCAGAAAAATCATTTGATAAAATCGAACACCCACTCCTGCTCAAACACTCACCAAGTCAGGAATAGAGAAGACCCTTAGCTTGATTAAAAAAAAAAAAAATCTACAAAAAACCCACAGCTGTTAGAGAAATGCAAATCCAAAGCACAATAAGATGCCACCTCACAGCCACAGGACCGGCCATGACGTCTTTAAAACAGAAAGAAAGGACGAGAGCTGGCGAGGTCGAGGGCCGCGGGAGGCCCCCCGCACGCCGGCGCGGGTGCGCGTGCTGCCGCGGTGCGGGAAACGCGGGGCGGCCGCTCAGAAATGACCGCGCGGCCCAGCAATTCCGCTCCCGGGTGTCGACAGCGAGGACGTGAAATCGGGCGTTCGAGCACATCCTTGTACACGCGCACTCGTAACAGCATTGTCCACGGTGACCAGGAGACAGAAACCACCCAGACGGACACGCCAGAAGTGTGCAGAATACGGCGGAATAGTATGCAGCCCGGCAAAAGGATGCCGCGCCCGCCCGTGCCAGCGCGGTGGACCGCGTGCTCATCATCCTCGTCAACACCGCCGGACACGGGCGGTCACGCGGCGCACGATTTCTGGTTTGCAGGAAAGATCCAGACCAGGGAACTCCACAGAGAGGGAAAGCAGAGTGAGGGGTGCCAAGGGGTGAGGGTGCGGGGGGGTGGGGAGTGACTGCGGGGTGGGCATGCCTGCTTCCTCCCGGGACCAGCCGCCGGGGTCAAGGGCGAGCGGCCTGGGGTGCAGAGCTGCTGTCGCCAGGTCCTGCCTGGCCCTGCTGGCCCCGCTCCCCGGACGCCCAGGGCCATCGGCACATGGCGGAAAGGGTGTCCCTCATGGAGGCAACTCGATGGCACTGGAGGACCAGAGTGGCACAGAGGGACGTGGCGGGTCTGAACGGAGCGAGGGGCAGGGTCGCGTCTGCTGGGTGGCCCTCTGTCCCCTGGGTAGGCCCTGTAGTGCCCCTAGTCTTTCTCCTTAAAACAAAGGTGACTTTGTAAAAACAGAAAATGGCATGGCGGCATTTGAGCCATCGTGAGAGAGAATGAGGGTGTCGCTGGCCCGCCAGCTCCCGCTCGGCGCGGAGGAGGCCGCCACGGGCCCTACTCACTCAGAGTCTCGGGGCCCCAGAGGACGCTGGGCCATGCGCGGGACGCTGCTGGCCTCGGTGGCGGGCTCGTGCACACAGGGTTCGGCAACGCGGGGATCCCCCGGAAGCTGGAACGGAAGAGAAACAAACGGGGTGTCATTGGGGCGCACACGCCAACGCTCCCTGACGACGGCTCACACCCCGAAACACGGCGGGACAGACGGCTCCCTGTGCCACGCCCTCAGAGGCAGCTCGGGGCCCAGGCTCCGCGGGGCCCCCCAACACGCCGGGATCGGAGTCCCAAGCTGCCGTGGGCCTCCCTGCGTGTTCCGGGGCCAGCAGCACAGACGGGGAGGACAAGGCGAGGCCCGCGGTCCCGTGTCGCCTTCAGTGTCTCAAACCCCGCCGGAGGTGACGGCCCGCGCCGCTGATGCCGCAGGGTCCCCTCGCTCGGACGGGAAACGCAGTGGCCTTCGAGCTTTGTCCCCGGCCTGTTCTTCCAAAGCAGCGACAGGCTACGGGCGCCGCAGAGCGTGCTGTCGCTGGGGTTCGCGCCCTTAAAATCGCGTTGCCGCCCACGGGGGAGAAGTCCTACCGAATGCGCAAAACGAGCCTTTGCAGGAGACGCAAACACACCAGGCGGGTGTCGCCCGAGGCCTCTGCACGGGCCACCCCCGCGGCTGTCCACACGGCTCCCGCCCCCGCTTCGGGCTGCTGCTCGGCCGCCGCCCTCCCGACCGCCCTCCTGAGACCCCGACCTGGCCTCCCCGCTCCGAGTCCCTCCGTGGCCCTCACGGCCGCCTCACGCGTGACACGCTTCCTGCACCCATCTCCGTCATCGTGTGCCTGCCCTCGCTGGAACTCTGCGAGGCCAGGGGACGAGTGATCCCCACTCAGGAGACGCCGTGGAATCAGTGGATGGGTGAGCCCCCCACCGGGGAGGAAAGCGGGGCCCGTGCACCCACCGCCAGCACCAGCAGCCCGGGAGGCCGACGGGCACGCGCACAGAGACACACAGTGACACACACACCCGCAGTGACCCTGACGAGCTGCCACCGTCCAAACTGCCCGGAGGCAGGAACAAGAGGCCCTGAGAGCCGGAGCCGACTGTCCCCTTGCAGTGAGCCCCGAAGGCAGGCGGGCGAGAGCCCAGAGCAGGCGCTGAGCCCAGCCCCTGGCTCCACGGGGGAGGCCGAGGCCCACAGGGCGGCAGGCCCCTCGGTGTCCGGTGGCCCCCTCGGTGTCCAGGGCCCGCCACGCCCCGGGCCACGCCGAGGTCTTGAATGTTTGAAATCCAAGTATGACCGGACCATGCGGATCAAACTGCGCTGTTCTAGGCGAACCTGCACCGTCACCTCGGGCACCAGATTTCAACAGGTGACTCCGGGGGACACAAGCGTTCAGTCCAGGATGTGTGCACCTGCCTGTGCGGTGGCTATGCTTCACTCAAACTGTCGCCTGAAGGAGTCGAGGCTGGGTGGACGGGGGCGGCAGGGGAGCAGGGGGCAGTGG